ACTGCCCTCATGGGCTGACTGCTCTCCACTCCAGTGATGCCCTATGTGTGGCCTCTTCACACCCCACTTAGCTTCTCCCAGGAAGCCTGGGGCAGAGGCTGGGCTTTAAGATGAGTGTGGTACTCAATGCCTCTTGTTGTTAATTTGGAAGTTGTTTCCATTTTGAGATACGGGTTCCCTTAGAAAGTCTGCATCAAACCTGAATCCGAGCCATCGAGCCATCCTTCTGTGGGATGAAGTCCCACTACTCAAGGTAAGGTCCATCACAAGCTATTGTATCCAGAACAATCCTGCAGGTGGGGAGGGCAGTAGGGATGTCACCACCCTGATGGGACATCTTTCATCTCTTCATCATGCGTGTCCTTTCAGGGTTTCTGAAGGACTGCCAGCCAGTGTTGGCCCGTGCCAGGCTGTGGTCTGCCAACGCACCCAGGTCATCTTCCTCACTCATGGGCTTCCGCTCTCTTATTCTTACGCAATTGATTTTGTAAAAAAAATAAAACAAAGGTAGACTTCTATGTCTATCCATACTCAATGTTTATCCTAGTCTGTCAAAATCTAACCCTTAGTTCTTGCAGAATTATCTAAATATAGATTTGATAAACATGGCCTCTGTGGTTTCAGGCAAGCCTTTACTAGAATGTTCTAAGAGTCAGGACTGAGCTCAAACATAGCAATGATAGTGAGGAACACGGCGGGGCCACAGAGCATTTGGTTCTGTGTACTTTGTGGGGTACCAGCCCCCACAATCAAATGGGTCCAAGGGGTGGTTGTGTAATTGTGGTGTATATATTAAAGGGACATCAGACACGATAAGGCATGCAAGGGCTCACCTTTGAGGCCATGTCTTCAGGAGCCAGGTCCCCGCAGAGAGAGAATATATTTCCAACCAAGGCTTATATACACTTGGGGGCGAGGGGGCAGGGCACATGCAAGTCCTTCTAATTACAAATTACAGGTAACCACGTATGTAACAAAGTGGGTTGTACTCTAACACTAAAAGTCCCTGAGTACACTGGAGGAGTAACCTAACACCAGTGTCTGGGGGCAGGTAAGGGGGGCGGTGACTGTGTCCAGAGCCCAGAAAGCAATAGCACAGGTCTGCCTCTATAGGTAAAGGTGCCAGCTAGACAGCAATCAGCTTGTAAGAGGTAACTTTAAGGCAGCACTATGATGGGAGGATGCAGTGGGGAACAATATTAATTATGAGAATGTGATTGGGACTCATCTCCAACTCACAAGGGTGAAGGCCTCCCTCCACCCCAGAAACCCAGTTCTCCAGGCTTCTTACAATATGAGAATATTTCCTTATACATTCTCTTCCCGTTCTGTTTCCCACAGTACACGGGGTTGCTATGAATGGAAATTGACTCAGTGGTACCTAATGACAACAAGGAGCATTGATATCAGCTCTGCCTTTGGAAAATTGATACCACACTCTCCCCCAGCATTTCCCACACTCCCCACGCTCCCCGAGAGCGGGGCACAGGGGAAGGCTTTCTCCAGCTCCATGGCGTTCACCATGGTGGTTCACTAAAAGGCTTTGTACCAACACCTTTCTACCTGGTCTCCCCTGGTCCTCGGAACACATAAAAGGCAATAGGTAAGTATTGATCCCCTTTACCAAATAGGCGGGGACCCTGATGATGTGGTGTTTAAGCACTGGGCTGCTAATGGGGAAGGTCAGCCGTTCAAGCCCTCCAGATGCATTGTGGGAGAAAGATGGGGCATCTACTTCCATAGAGATCTCAACCTTGGAAGCCCTCTGGGGCAGTTCTGCTCTATAAACCAGAGCAGGGATGACACCCAATCACCTTGATGGCAGTGGCTACCACAGAAGTAAACTGAGGCTCACTCTGAAAGGTCACGGGGTTTGCCCCAGATCATTCAAAAGCCAGACCTGGTAGTCTTTGAATAAGATGGTGCAAGAACCCTCCTCCCTTTCCAGGGGACCCCTCAAAGATCGCAGGGGATCCCAAACATTCAGCCTGTTCTTCCTCCAGCCTGGGAGTGAAAGCCCGCTTGAGTTAGCTCTCCTGACCACAGGAGGAGATTGTGTCTCAGGTAAAGTGAGGGTGCAGAAGCCAGGGAGTCTGGGTCCTCAGTTCCTGAGTCTACATGAATCCTGACAGGCCCTCCTCCAGGCCCATCCCAGGGCCCCATTCCACACAGATCCCCAAGCCCAGTTGTGCAGGAGTGGAGTCAAACACAAGGGGTGTGTGGGGGTGGGGGGATGGGGAGAGTTTGGAGATATGACATCCTCCTCCTTCCCAAGTATTGTGATTACCTTGTGTTTATCTCCACAGCTCACACCACCAGGCTGTGAGCTCCTCCCAGCTGGATGGAAACTCCCACTGTGGGTGCACTGCTCCTGGATTTGGACAGGAATCCTGGATCCTAAAGATCTCCTTTGTCACCCGATAACTGAGTCTCCCTCCAGCTGTCCCTGCTTCTCCCTTGACTCTACACACCTCAAACCTCACCTGTCCCTCATCATCCAGCTCAAGAAAGTCTCCACAAGCTTCCCGGCGACCCCCGCCACTCCTAAACGGTAGACCTCGAAGGGCTGCTCTGAGGATGGAGGTAGATCAAGCAAGCAGAACGCTGACTGGGATTTTGCACATCCTAAAAGCTCAGGAAAGCTGGGCTGTGGTTGTACCGTTAGGTGCCATCACGCTGGTCCTGACTCATAGTGACCCAATGGACCGAAACAGCCCAGTCGTGCATCATGCTCAAATTGTTATGCCTGGTCCCAATGTTGCAGCTACTGTGTCAGTCCAGGATGACCTGCGTCTCCCTCTTTTCCCACTGCCCCTCAACTTTACCAAGCATCATGTCCTTCTACAGGGACTGGTCTCTCCTGATAACTTGGCCAAAGCACACGAGGCAACCTCTCGCCATACTTGCTCCTGAGGAGCAGTCTGGATGTACTACCTCCAAGAGTCGTGTTTGTTCTTCTGGCAGTTGGTGATACTTGTGATATTCTTCCCCAGCGCCATCATTCAAACGCATTGCTTCTTCTTTGGTCAAGGTCCGACTTTCACACTGTGTATGAGGTGATTGAAAATGCGTGGCTTGAGTCCTCAGGAGGGCGTCTCAAACACCGCACTGCCATCACCGGGGCACTCTCGGACAGCGCAGAACCGCCCCCTGTGTTTTCAAGGAAGCAGAGAGCCTCGTTTGTCTCCCTTGAGCGGCTCGCAGCGGGTTTGAACCGGGAGACTGTGAATAAGCAGGCAAGCTGCCCGGATCCTTGCAGGAGCTGTGCTGAGCGCTGCCCTCTGCTTCCTCGGCTCAGCCCGTGCGCCACCAGGGGGCACCCCTGCCCCAGAGCCCCGGCGCAGGGAACCCGAGGGTCTGCGCGACCGGAGCGGGTCGTTGGCTGGCCTCCGCTCGGCTGGGAGGGCGCGGGGGAATCATGGGGCGGGCGTCCCCAGCCCGTGATGCCCAGGCCTGCGCTTTCTCCCGGAAGGAGACCGGGAGGCGATCGGATGCGTGTGTGTGTGTCCCGCAACTAGATTCTGCTTCTGCTTCCGAAGCAGTGACTTCCAGCCTCTCGCTGCAAAGCTGCGCCTCGCGGGGTGGCCGTGTTCACAAGGGTGCGCATTGGCGACGTACAAAACCAGCGGCTGCGCGCATGCTCCGCGCACAGCTCCCGTTTGATGCCCACGAGGAAACTGAGTCTTCGAGGCGCCGAGTGAGTGGGGCCCAAGGCTGCCACTGAGGGAGCCGCGCGCGGGGCCCGAATCCCCCGGCAGGCCCCCCGCGGGCTCGCTCCGGCGCCTCCGCCCCGTACTTATGCCCCCCCACCCCGCCTCGGGCTCTCCATCGGAAGCCACGCCCATGTGCTCGACACAATGGATGTCTGGAACGTCCTGAGAGCTGTAAGAGCCCCCGATGCGATGCTTTTGTTAAAAAAAGAAAAGAAAGCCACTCCCATCGGATCGGATTCTTCCGCACCAGCTCTTCCTTCGGGCCCCGGCTCGGCAGCGTCCCGGCGGCGACACGGGCACTTCCGTCCCGTCCCCGGTCTCGAAGGGGTTAAGGCCGCGTCCCCGCCCCTCCGCCCGCCCG